TTTTTAATCTTTTTCTTTTTTTCTTTTTTTACTTTTCGTTTTTTCTTTTTCTTTTTCTTATTTTTTTATATTTTGTCTTTTTTTTTTAACTTTTTTCATTTTTTTCTTTTTTTTTTATTTTTTCTTTTTCTTTTTTTTTCTTTTTTTTTTTTAAATACATTAGAGAACGAAACAAAATTAGAAAACGTTAAGTTACAAAACCAAAAACAATGCGAAACAAGCTAATACTAAGAGTTCTATCCGAAACCAGTATTATCAGAGTTCAGTCCTATAGTGGTTCTATAGAAAGTCATGCAGTCATATAACGGTTACCAAACAACCGGAATTCCAACTTGAAGAAATTTTATGACTGAATGGTAAACGAGTATTCAAAAATCCAAAAAGCAAAAAATCCCGCCGTAATTTTTCAAAAATTAGTGGCCGGATTAGAACTCACAAATTAGCAATTCAAAAACAACAATTAATAACTTAGTGAATAAAGTCTAACAACTAGTAATCAATCCAAAAATACAAAAATCAATAAGTAAATCAGTAAATTTATAAAAAAAAAAAATCAAAAATTAGCAACCAAAATTTCAAAAAAAAGTCACAGGCTACAGCAAGAAAACCATTAATTCCATAAACAGTAAATAGCAAAAAAAAACTCAAAAATCTTAATTAGTCAAAAAATCCAAACAATTAGTTGGCTAGTAGACAAGAAAGTAGTGTTACTTGCGTAAAGATGAGCAAGGAGCTGGAGCGGAGCGAAGCTTGAGCGAAGCGCAAGTTGGATAAGGATGACTCTGCACACGACATCGCCTTTCACTGGTAGAAATTGTATCCTTCTTCTGCACCTGCAAAAAATGCGAAGATTGAGAACAAATAAATTAATGAATATAACAACAATTTCTTGTATTTGATATCATTTGAAAAGAAAATGTTTCACCTACCGGGGATGTAATAGTGCTGGGCTTCATCGTTTCTACCAGCTAGTTCTAATCTCCTTCGTTTAACAGCCCTTTCACTTATGACGGCCTTCGTGGCCATTGGACACCATTCCAAGGAATGGAGCTCCATCGTGGCTGCTATTTCCTCACTGGAGTTGACATGCGGCATGTCAATGAAATGGCCGCATTTCTGACAAAAGCCTGAAATGGATACATTATAATAAAAAGAGTCTTACATTTGTGGTTACTATTAACAAACTACCAACTACTTCCCAGACTACTTTCCTAGAGACTACTTTCCTACTTTCCCTCTTAGAAACTATTTTAGAAACTACTTTCCCTCTTAGCAATAGCAGTAATATACGAAGTGAAACTTACCATTTTGCCGGTGCGTTTTGCTGGCATGTATTCGCCATCCTTTTAAAGTCCCAAATTCCTTGGCGCACAAACCGCACCCTGAAAATATGACAAGCATTCCAAACACATTCAAATTACCCATGTGGAAATTTTTAATACAGTAATGAAGTAAATTTAAATTTACCAATTGTGGTCGACCCGTCAGCATTTCGATTGACCGTGTACGGGTCGGTTTCTGGTGCGACCAGCAGCTGCCGATATTGTGGCGGTAAACCTTCCACTACCGGCGTGTGGAAGGCTTCTGGACCTGCTGGTATTGCACTGTATCCTTCGTCCTCTTCCACAATTGGGACGCGTATAGTCCGGGAACGCCTGAAGTATATTCACTCAATAAATTAATTGTTCATCCTACATGTTCACTTGTACTTCGAAAATTCTATGAAGATAAGACAAATTAGTTCCATTTATCATTAGCATTTCAAACTAAGTTATCAAAATTTTATGACATTTGTAGTCAGAAATAAAACCTACAGTACTATTTCGCGGGTTCGTATCGCTTTCCTGCGTCGCCGGACCATTGCGGGCGCTCTTGGAATCACTTCGTCATTGAGGAGCGCTTCCTGTGATACCTGACGCCGCTCCGCCAACTCCTCCTCCTCTCCGTTTTGAACCAGTGCCGGTACTGGTTCTACCATTTCTTGCCCTTCAGGTTGTTGCTGCTGGAGGAGATGGAACACGAGCCGCTCCTCATTTTCACGTCCTTGCTCCATTTCGCGCTCGTGCTCCAGGAGCTCTCGGGATAATTCTAATTGCTCCTGAGTTGGCGGAGGACTTGCGCGATGCACTAAATCCGCTCTTGGGACCACAACTGTTCCAATGTTTTCATGAGCTTCAAGCTCATTTCCTTCCAGCCTCGCTCTCAAATCATTAATCTAAAAAAAATCACACCTGTCAACACAACTAACGACAAATCCAATAAACAAATTGAATATTACTATAAGTAAATTCAATCCAAAATCAAAAAAACATACTAAATGTGCCGCATTTAATAAATAATCCTCCAATACTTGGAGGTAGAGCGGCTCCTCGCGAAGATGATTTTTCAAATCCGCCAGAGTTGGCAGACTTGGGCCTTGCACACTAACGAAAGCCATATTTGCTGAAAAATCACACATGATTGATTAAATCATTACAAACTTCCATCTCATTACTATAGTTTCGCTCATTTAATGAGTTAAATTACTTTGATATATTAAATACTACCCAGGGATACAGTAAAAGATTAATCAAAATTTATCCATACATATATTTGTTCAATAAGCATTCCTACCACACTGTAACATCATTGTTCATGTAAACTACTCATATGGCATGACTACTAGATTATTCTCACCGCCAGCTATTTGAACGTGCATTATTCGAATATTGCTGGAACGTCTCAACCCCCCTACCTGCCTTCCTCCCCCCTCCCCCCCCCAGATTACTTGTATTATTATTAAGAGAGAAAAAAAGAAAGAAAAAGTGATGAATGCCAACATACCTTTAAGCTCTACAATGGATTATGGGTTCGCAGTCATAGATATATATATCCTGACAGATAAGGAAAGCCAAAGAAAAAAAACATTCGCCACTGTAGAGCATTTGCTTTTTTTTTTGTCTCCCAGTAGATATAGCAATTCTCTCAAATATTCCGCTGTCTAACATATATCCCCCATAAGGTAAGATTTGAAAAAAATTAGTGATCACATAGATTTTAGAATCAGGAAGATTATCTTATCATTCTCATTATCACCAAAATGTAACAAAAACAATATTGATAATTAAAATAAGAAATGATAAAGGCAGACAACCAATTGATCATTCGCAAATTATTTTTTTCTTTTCCAAGATATTACCTAACGTTTAACGAATTTATTATGACGACAAGCATTCATTTAGAATTCTTTTGCAGTAATGTGAAAATATTTCAGGGTGACGACTGGACATTGGTCATTTCCCTTCGTCCATTCATGCTGCAT